ATAACATAATGTAAAATAAAATGAAATATAGAGTATCTTCAGGGATTTTGATATCAAGTTTCTGTTCTTCACTAGGGGTCTAGAAATATTTACAAGTTTGATGAAGTATAAAATTTCTAGGGGCACCTGGGTAGCTCAGTCAGTTAAGCATCTGCCTTCAGCTCAGGTCATGATCCCGGGGTCCTGGAATTGAGTCCCACATTGGGCTCCCTGCTCCGCAGGGAGTCTGCTTCTCACTCTGCCTCTGCTGCTCCCCCTGCTTGTGCTCTCTCTCTCTCTCAAATAAATAAATAAAATCTTTTTTAAAAACAATTTCTATGCCTGGTTCTATTGGTATTCAATTCTGTGCCCTTGTGGATCTTGTCTCTCATACCAGTTATAATTAAGATCTGCAGTGTGTAACAGGGAAACAAAAATGAAAATGAATAAAACATTAACAGTGGTTTAGACAACATATGCATAAATTTTTCTTTCATGTAAATCAAGTCCAGAAGCAGAATCTCCAGAAATAGAGCTAATAAGACAGCTCCACATTTTTATCAGGGCTGGCACTATCTTTCCTGTCCTCCATCTGTTGTATCTTCAAGGTCACCTTGTTATCAAAGATGGCTGCCAGTCCTTATAATGTCAGATTTCATGCTGGCATCCAGAGGAAGATGACTAGAAGCTCTCACTCTTCCTTTGTGAAGATCATGTCTTGAGTCTCCATAAAACACTTCCGCATTAGCCACATGGGGCTGCTATAATAAAGTATCATAGATGGGTGGGTTCAACAACAGACATTTATTTATCACAGTTCTCAAAGCTGGAAAACTCAAAATCAAGGTAACAAGTTACATTTTATTCTGAATCCTTTTCCCTTGGCTTAGAGGTGGCGGTGATCGCTCTGTGTGCTCATGTGACCTTCTTGTGTGTGCAGATGCGGGAGTAGATCTTTCTTTGATAAGGGTACTAATCCCATCATGAAGCTCCCACTCTCATGACTTCATCTAACCTTCCTTGCTTCCCAAAGGCCCTCTGTCTCCAAATACCACCATGCTGCGGGGGTAGGGTTTCAACATAAAATTTGGGGAAACACAATTCAGTCCATAGCAACTTCCAATTATAGACAAAATATAGACACATTTTTTTTTTTACTTAGACTATTTATTTGCATTCTTAGATGACAAGACACCAAAAGTCACACCTTCTTAAAACTCTTCAAAAGAAGTATATTTTAAATGCTGCAAACAGCAGCAGCGGTTTCCAAGATACAGGTGTGATGCGAGCTGCCAGTCTTTCAAAATTACCCTTTGCCCAGAGTTCTTTCTCTAAGGTTGATGAGGAATATGTGATAGTAGTGATAGTAGCAGTCTTTGACAGTAAGGTCTTCCTCCTTACTTCAGGAGTGTTAGTGCACAGAGTAGTTGTTTATGGTTAACTTGTCGGACTTGAAAATGACTATGCAATACTTCAGGTTTGGTGCTGTCAAATTTAAAAATTCTCTTTGGTCTTCTGGCCCCCAGATTTACTCTGCTGGATTGGCTTGCTTTTTCTTTCCTCCCTTCTTTCCTTCCTTCCTTCCTTCCTTTCAAGATTTTATTTATTTATTTGAGAGAGAGACAGAGAGAGCACAAGCAGGGGGAGTGGAAGAGGGAGAAGCAGGCTTCCCGCCAAGCAGGGAACCCGATGCGGGGCTCGAATCCAGGACCCTGGGATCATGACCTGAGCCGAAGGCAGACACTTAACCACTGAGCCACCCAGGCGCCCCATGGATTGGCCTTTTTTTCAGAGCAACAAAGTTTAGCTGAATTTTAAAGCTTTGTGAATGGGCATTGAAAAACATGCCAGATTTGCCTAAAACCTTGACATTTCTAGTATAGCACTATTCAGTGATCCCTTAACACCAGAGTCTCAGTGGTGCTGATGTTTAGTCACATATCATTCCTTAAATGTAGAATGTATTAGGTCAGGAGTTTTATCTAACATCATTATCAAAGGGGCTCTATTCCACAATGCCTGGTAACCTGCAAATAGATATCTAAAGTTTTCAGGGTTTTATTTTTATGTAGTCTTATTTTGTAAGCCTAATTTTTTTTTTAAAGATTTTATTTATTTATTTGAGAGAGAGAATGAGAGAGAGAGAGAGAGCATGAGAGGGGGGAGGGTCAGAGGGAGAAGCAGACTCCCCGCTGAGCAGGGAGTCTGATGTGGGACTCGATCCCGGGACTCCAGGATCATGACCTGAGCCGAAGGCAGTCGCTTAACCAACTGAGCCACCCAGGTGCCCTGGTAAGCCTAATTTATGATAAGAAGATATATGAAGAAAAGATTGCCAGGTGATTTTATTTTTCCTGCATTTCCATTTGGAATATTTGACTTTTATCACTTGTAGATCATCATCATTCTTCTAAATTCACTCTCTCTAAATTATGTTCCATTTTCCTAGTGTATTTGACCTATTTATCCATTTATCCACCTCTAAAAATGACATCTTCATTTTTGGATTTTGTAATCCTCTATAGCCTGTATTTTAGTGGGATATATATTTACTGGTAATAATGTACACCTTAGAACGCAATTGTTCTGTAGCTTGGTACTGACCTTTATTAATAAATAGTTATGATGCCTTTAAATAGTCCAATAAATATGTAGTTTTGAAAGGTATTCCAAAACATATTTTCAAATAAATTATAAATATTGGACCCAGTGTAAGTTTAATATGATCTAATTTATTTTAATAGAATGATAAGCTGAATGTTGAGTTTGAAGATCATCCTAGTGAGTGTTTGAGTTCAGATTTAGTGTTTTGCTCCAAAACCTTTATTTACCTTGAGATTCTCACCTTTATTTAAAAATAAGGAGTAACAGTTCAAATTAAGTGCAAAAAATCAACTAAAATCCACATGTGTTAGCATTCCTTTTTTTGCATGTGCAAACTTGAGGAGTTCTATCTGATTTTATAATCGGTTGAAAAATAAATTGAATGCAAGTCTTTAGATAAAGTTGTGTTTTAGTGTTTCTTTATTTTAGCTTTTGAATGAGGGAAGAAGGGCCGCATTGCAAGTCAGTAGCTTAACCTAATAGGCACTTTCTATATATTAATTGATTGAGCACATTTGGTTCAGGAGAGAACTGGAAAGTTACTACAAACCCAGCTCATCTGTCTTACCTCCTAACTGAATTAGAGCCACACCAGGAACGAGGAACCTTTGTCCTCTTTACAGAGGAAAGTAAAATAAAGACAGATAAAATAGATTATAATGATGACAAGTAGAGTAAGAGTAGAAAAATTAAGAATATTTTAATATATTATAACTAATGTGAAGATTTTAACATTTCCCCGGTGCCTATATACTCATTAGAAAAATTACATTTCACCTAAGATTGGAGGAATATATATTAGAAGAATATTTTAATTTATGTTGTTTAAACAAACAGGAAAGACATCATATATTTATTATATTTATTTTTTAATTTTTTAAAAGATTTTATTTAAACATTTGAGAGAGGGAGAGTCAGAGAGAGCACAAGCATGGGGAGAGGCAGAGGGAGAGGGAGAAGCAGGCTCCCTGGGGCAGAGAGCCCTATGCGGGACTTGATCCCAGGACCCTGAGATCATGACCTGAACCGAAGGCAGACACTTAACCATCTGAGCCACTTAGGCGCCCCCATCATATGTTTAAATGGGTGTTTTTGTCTCATTACGTATTTCTTTATTTTTATTTTTTTTAAAGATTTTATTTATTTATTTGACAGAGAGAGAGATAGTGAGAGCAGGAACACAAGCAGGGGGAGTGGGAGAGGGAGAAGCAGGCTTCCCGCGGAGCAGGGAGCCCAACGTGGGGCTCGATCCCAGGACCCTGGGATCATGACCTGAGCGGAAGGCAGGCGCTTAACGACTGAGCCACCCAGGTGCCCCTGTCTCATTACATATTTAAGAATACTTTCTAAGAGATAAATTCATAGCAATAAAGGATACCTTGAATCTACTTTCAGAAAGTAAACTGATCTAGAACTATTCAACTTAATGTTAAGAGGGCTCCAGTAGTTGCACATTTTGTTACTAAATATTTTTTGTCAAACTGTATTTAGATGGGATTTATATAGCAGTAGATTGAAGAGGAAAAGCTTGTATTTAAGAGTCTACCTATTAACATTAAACTCAGGTAAAATGCAAGAGCTCTTCTTTACCACCCTATTGAAAACAACTTTACCTCCCCACACACCAATAAAGAGCTATCATTTTATTTGATTTATTTTGTTTCACAGCGTGTTTCACTGCTAACTGTATATTTGTTTATTGTCTATTTCTCCATTAGCATATAAGTTCCCCTAGAACAGGCACTTTTTCTTGTTCAACCAAGAAACCAGTAGTGACAAAAGCAGTGCACAGCATAGAGTAGGAGCACCATCAATTTACAGATTCCTGTTTAGCAAGCAGACCTAGTTAACTGGCCCTCTACTCCCCAGGCAGGGAAAGAAAGCATTGAGGAAACATTGTGTAGAGGGGGACGGTTAGGTTGAAAGAGACCTCAAACCATCTTCCTGAGATTCTAATTGACAAGTGATTCAGTAGATGGATTGTATACATGCCACAGAGCTCTAAAGTAGGTGTTGTCTGTAAAATCAGGGCCTCTATCATTTGATCCCTTTCTTCTAATCTTTTTTCCCCCCACTATATTCTGGCTGCTTTATTCACTCTCCCACAAATTGTACCTTTTGTTTTCATCTCATGGCTCTTCAAACACCATTTCCTCTCCATAGCTGCCTTCCTCTCTGCCCTATACCAAACCAGACACTCCCTCTCTTTGTGGAGTGAGTATGCCTGTTAATGTATATATAGTCAAAGCACAGGGTTTAATTGAGTTGCTAAGTAGATCTATCTATCCATCCATATTACAGAACTTAAGAGCCATATTCTTAAAATTGTTAATTGGTATTTCATGAATTAGAAATAACAAGGGTCCTCTTTATAGATAATGTGAATTATTTGTCCATCTATCCAACTTTTCTTCTAGATTACTCCTGTTCCTGGTACTCATCCGCTTTTAGTTTTTGTGAACCCCAAAAGTGGTGGGAAGCAAGGAGAACGGTATGTTTTTAGAAATCAGGTTTATTTTCTGTGTCGTATATATGTAAAAAGATAAACTAAAATTACAGTGTAAAAAATTTTAAAACATTATTCTCTATGGTTAACAATTTTAATGTCAAATAAGTAATTCTAGCATCTATATGTAATATATCTCCTTATTTTTACAGTTCAAATATTAATACAATAATGGCCTTTGTAGATATTTTTATTATCATATATTGGGTATCTGAATTCTCTCTACTCTACCTATCACCCCTAGCCCTTAACAAAGAGCATTGCATACAACATGGCTCCATAAATACTGCTGAATGCAAATTGGTTCTCTAAATGGTCAACAAGATGACTTCAAATAAATCATCATTCACTAGTGAGGAACAGAATTTATGTCCAGCTTCTAGACAAATTACATTATAATGATTTTCTGCATGTGTGTTTTTGGAGTACATGATGCCATATATCCTGGAGGAGCACAATATATTTAATCTGAATTATAATGAGCTGCATTATCAAGTGTCCCAATATATTGGCAGACAACACAAAATTTTCATTTTTGTAATAAATTAATGGTTAAATCATAATATTTAATAAAAATCTGAAAATCACCACATTGACGTGTAAATCCTATGTGCTTCTTAAAAGGGGTGTCATAAAAATGAAGTTGCACCTGCTTCAATAATTTCTAGAAGTCTTTACTAATCTCAACCCAAAAATGAGCAATCAAATAAAAGCATTCATATAAGTACTATGATAAAACAGAAATTTCCATTGTGGTTCATCAAATAATGAAGTTGAAAGTTGAAATGTTTTCATGATAAGTGGAATTTTGTAATTTCCTTTCCAACCAGCTAACTTTCCAGCTTTATTTCAATGAAATGAAGAGTGCTCCTCATTTTCCAATCAACAAAATATTATTTTTGCCGAGATTCTTTCCTCTATTAACATATAGTGGTATTTTTTTTACTGTGCTAAACATGGTAGAAATTATTTTAAATAACTAGTGACTTAATTAAAATATTTACATTGTTTTATTAAAAAGAATAGTTGCCTCACTTTTAGAGATACTAAATAGTAATTAAATAATAATGCTAAAATGATTTTTTTTACTATGTGTAGTCTGTCAACTTTATGTATTATGGATATTTGGGAAAAAAGTACTCTTCACATAGAATTAGATAGGAATTAAATTCGTGTTGGAAATTAGAAACAGATGAAGTATCAAGAGAAAGAAAGAAAGAAAAAGTATATTTTCTCTCTTTTTTAAAGATTTTTATTTATTTATTTGACAGAGAGAGACACAGTGAGAGAGAGAGAACACAAACAGGGGGATTGGGAGAGGGAGAAGCAATCTTCCCGCGGAGCAGGGAGCCTGATGTGGGGCTCGATCCCAGGACTCTGGGATCGTGCCCTGAGCCGAAGGCAGATGCTTAATGACTGAGCCACCCAGGCACCCCCAAAAAGTATATTTTCAAAAGGAAAGCATTCCCCTCAAATTAGACTATGGATCATGCAGGATGACCCTTAACTGAATATCTGACTTCCCCTTCTCCCATTAAGAAAAAAATTCAGGGTGCCTGGGTGGCTCAGTCTTTAAGCCTCTGCCTTCGGCTCAGGTAATGATCCCAGGGTCCTGGGATCAAGCCCCGCATCCGGCTCCCCGCTCCGCGGAAGGCCTGCTTCTCCCTCTTCCACTCCCCCCTGCTTGTGTTCCCTGTCTTGCTGTATCTATCTCTTTCAAATGAATAAATAAAAGCTTAAAAATAAATAAATAAATGAATAAATAAATAAATAAATAAATTCATAGATACACTAAAGTCATAATAAATTAAACTTAATGGGAGGGGCGGGATATTTGAGTGTTCCTATATGTACACCCACTTATGTTTTGTTCTTCATACATGAACAGGACCAAAGTCACAGGAAATGTAAATATGTAAACATGTAAAGGAAACCTATTATGAATGCAAATATAAATTTTCCTGAATGAATAAGAGTCATCTTTCACAAACAATGAAATTCCATTCAGGATTTCCTTTAAAAATATTTGGGTTTCTTGACTTCGATATGTTAGATAAGTAGCAAAAGGTTACAAAATTATATATTCACTCAGAGTTTCGCAAACCAGTCAACGAGTGTGAAAATATTCACATAGCATTCATTCATTCAAACAGCAACACCTGAGTGCATCCAAACTCTACTAGGTACTGGGGATAAAAGACCTAGAATACAGCCATGCAGGGAGGCAGGCACAAACAGATACACCACAGTACCACAAGGTGAATTCTAAACTAGAAATGTTTAAAATAAAGGTGCTGTCAAAGTTCAGAGGAAGAAAGGCTATCTGAAGACTGAGAAGTCTTTGGACAGGAAGTAGCTTTTGAGTTGATAAGGTAGAAGGAAAGAGAAAGATTTGTGAAAGGGTGTGGTGTTTTTAGGGAACCAAGAGATAATCCCTGAAGTTAAAGTTTAAGGCAAAAGCAGGGAAAGAGAAGACATAACCTATTTTAAATATAATAAAATATTTTTTATTATAAGTAACTTGACCCTAGGAACTTTTCATCACAGAAACAACGTGGCTGTAATTAACCAGCCCTATGTAAGAGGGCTGGATAGGCCAAGATTGTATAGAGCTGATGAGAGAGCTAGAAAGCCTGAGCAAAGGCAGTGAGATAGAATTGCCAAGTTCAATAGACATTACTGTTAGAAGGTGCAGGACTGTTCTCCAATCGGGTTCAGATGCTGGGGAAAAAGAAGTACTGAGAATGACTCTTAGATTATTTCTTGAGACACTGGTTCATATAATTAATCGAGAACTAGAATGTGAGGTTATTGCAGATTTGGGGGTAGGGTGATATAAGCAGATACTACATAGTGAATTTGGACAATTTCTATCAGTAAGGATAGTCTGAATGTGTTTGTAAAATATATGGTAATATTTTTACATTTATGTAAAAACTAACTTTTAAAAAACTAAATGTATTCCTTCATTTTAAGTATTTCATCTAAGAATACCAATATGGAATGTGTATCTACTTAGAAATAATTGTGTTGCATTTGTTGGACAATGATTGATATCTTTTGGAAAAAATGAATTATTTAATATGTGCCCATTGAAACAGTTTAGCAATTGTGTGAGCTGACTGATCAGATGATTGTTTATGTGCAATAATTAAGCAGATTTGGTCACATTTTTTGATTACATACATACATACAACATGCACAGTCCCATTTTATATTCAGGATAGTTTTCATCTCGATTAGATTGGCCCAATAACCTGAAACTTCACAAGGATCAATTAGGGGAAGGTATGTAAATAATTTTATTCTGATACTCTTAAAAAATGTATTTGAAATCTACTTAGCTAAATAATATTCAAAAGCAGGATAAACAATACTCTAAATGCATATCCATATTTAGAATGCAAATATCACTATTTCTAATTTATAAGCTTTATTGCCTTTAATTGGCTAGTAAGTGTCTTTTTCAAAGAACCATAAGTTCTTATTGAGCTGTTATACTTCTAGTATTATTAATGTAAAATTTATCAAATATATTTAGTTACAACCATGTATATAATTTTAACATTAAGAGGTGCTATTTATTTAAAAATTGGAGCGTATCACTAAATTTCTTTTTTTTTCTTTCCCCATATTTTCATCTTTATAGAATTTATAGAAAATTCCAATATCTACTAAATCCTCGTCAGGTTTACAGTCTTTCTGGAAATGGACCAATGCCAGGGTAAGTCCAAGGATAATATCATTACCATTGACTCTTTTAATATTAATTAATAAAATAAGCAGCCTGATGTACCTAGAAATAATGTTATTTGAATACAGCAGCCAGATTAGTATACATAAAAACATTGAATATCAACTATATAAGAGTTACCAGTACAGATGCTATTTTTCAAAATAGCCTGTTTCAAGCAGATTTTTTTTTTCCCTTCTAAGTATTGTGAAGTACTGCCCTCCTACCATTACTACTACTACTACTACTACTACTAATCACACAAACACACTTGCTAGGTACCTAAACATCCAAACCATCTGTTTGAAGAACCACTGCCTTTTCTTTTCCTTTTTAAATATAGAAAGAGGATCTACTATAGAGGAAAAAGCTAGTTAACAAAGAATAGAAATCATAATAGGATTTTTTCATTCACTACTTACAAAATCTAGTGACTACGACATTCTTACAAGACACATTATTAATAGGTAACACATAGCAAAATAAGTTTATTTTTTCCAACAGTAACCATGTGTTATTAACACAAGTATATGCTGAAATCAATCATCACTAATTTGGCCTAGTTAACTAATCATCTTCCACTGACCTGTTCTATCAACTTGAGTAAAATTAGACCAGATGAAGAAGGAAGCTCTATAACACTTACATGAGCTTCTTTATAAACAAACAAACAAAAAAACAACAGCAAAAAACATCAGTGTGATTAAAATAAGTTTTCTGTGTTATTCTCAGAAACTAGAAACCAAATATTGAAATTGGACTCTTTTAAATGCTCAGAATAAAGTGTATACTGTTGTGTCTAATGTTAAATAAATGTAAGTAAAATACTATTAATTTGCACAGGCTCCCACAATATATTCATCTCTTTCTTCCACTCCCTGTTACCTGCTGTCCAGCACCAGCTGAGCCGCAATCTGTAGAACCTCCTTGCTGGAGAAGGCAGGATCCTCATAAACATTTAGTTCAGAACAGTGCCTTTGTCAAGCTCCAGACTCCAGTAAAGGATCATGATCAGATTATTGGCTATTTGAGCCACATGCAGGAAGTCCTAATCTAGATAGAACCATGCAAAAGTAAAGTCTTAATGTTAACACAGGAGCTTAGTCAGGATGGCTCTTTTTCTTGTTCTTCAATATTCTCTGAATTTCAGAGCAGTGGTAGCTCTTATTCTGCAGGCTTAAGCAATGGTGTGTTCAAAAGTTTAGCCATTCCAGGACCTCTGCAGTTCTATGCAGACCAATACATCAAGGATTTGCCTGTATTCCATGATTAAATGCAATGCCTACTGACTGCTAATTATAAGCCTATGTGCCTTCTTTGACTCATTTCTGTAAAATGAGAAAAATAGTACCTGTCTCATAGGATAGTTGTGAAGTTAAATGGGATGATGCCTATGAAGCATATAAAAATATGCTTACTACATAGGTCCTCAATTAATGTTCATTAATCTCAATACTGTTTATAGTAATATTAGTTAATAATTAATAATTACATGTTTGTAACTATGTAAATATACAGCAATTATATTGATATTAGCCTTGTTTTTATCATTTCATTTTTTCCCACTCCACTTTAAATATGTACTACATGATTCCTTTCACTCTTTCAATTTTAGGCATTTTATTATCCTGTACTCGATTTTAATATATTGAAAAAATAAAAGTAATATAGGTACTTGTGAAAATCCACACTACAATGAGTATCATTTAGAAAGTAAGTTAAAGGCCCCCCTTCAAGCATTAACACTCCTCAGGTAATAGCACTGCAAATTATGTGTATACTCCCAGAACTTCTTATATGAACATAAAACCTAGTGTATGTATGTGATATATTTACATATAATGTATTCATGCATATGATTCATGCATACACACACATACACATGCATATGTATGTTGTATAAATAAGTAGATTTTTGTTATGTTAATCACCATACATTACTTCATTAGTTTTTTAAAATTTTTTATTGTTATGTTAATCACCATACATTACACCATTCGTTTTTGATGTAGTGTTCCATGATTCATTGTTTGCGTATAACACCCAGTGCTCCATTCAATACGTGCCCTCTTTAATACCCATCACCAGGCTAACCCATCCCCCGACCCTCCTCCCCTCTAGAACCCTCAGTTTGTTTCTCAGAGTCCATAGTCTCTCAGGGTTCGTCTCCCCCTCCGATTTCCCCCCCTTCATTTTTCCCTTCCTGCTATCTTCTTTTTTTTTTATAACATATAATGCATTATTTGTTTCAGAGGTACAGGTCTGTGATTCAACAGTCTTACACAATTCACAGCATCACCATAGCACATACCCTCCCCAATGTCTATCACCCAGCCACCCATAAGTAGATTTTGTAATATAACTTGGAGTATAGGTCTTTTATTGCTCTGCAACTTGCTTTTTTTTTTTTTTAACTCAAAAGCATATGGTGGATATTGTTTGAGTTCAGCAGATACTGATTGGTTTCATTATTTTTAAGAGCTGCAAAATATTCCATTGTTTTGTTAGCTATTCCGTTATTGATAAACATTGAGATTGTACTTTTAAATGATTACCATATGCAAAGTTAACATTTATCAATGTATTTATGTTTTTTGAAAGCATGTTCAAATGTTTTCATAGAATAGGTTGATATAGGTAGAATTACTTGATTGAGAATATTTTCCATTTTAATTGTGTAAAGTTCTGCCCCAGTTTTAACCCCAGAAGCGGTATATAAGCTTATTTCCCGCAGTGTTCTTTAAATTGGCTATCTTCAGTAATTTCTATTTTTGTCCAATGTGATAGGTGAAAATATATTTGTGTCATTTTCATTTGCATGTGTTTGATCAAGTATAAGGTTTAATATGGCATTAATTAGATATACTTTTCTATAAACAACAGAAATGTACCCTGGCTTATTATCCAAAATAAAGTTCAATTATGAAGTTACTCCTAGAATTAATAGAAAAATAAAGAACTCTGTTTCAGGACAGATACGGGTCAGGACAGTCTGAGGAAACGGAGTAGCAGGACTAAACAAAGTCCCATGGTGGTTATTGCTGAGAGGAATTGATTCCGGTTGCTTTTGGTATTATTTCTCTGCTCAACATTCAGATCCCAGGGAGAAGTGTATTTATTGGTTTCTCTCATTTCCCATGCCACAGCCTTGGCTTGTTTAGGATGGGGGATCTTGACTGACAGTCCTGTCAAGGCTTTATGTACATGCTTTGTTCCCACAAAGATACACAAGGATGCTCTAACCTGAGGATGAAAGATGAATTCTTGGAGGGGATAAACAGTAGGTAGTCAGCACAGTACAGCCATAGGTCTGTCCAATATCCCTTCTTTTCTGAACACAACAATTAAAAAACAAAATGATACTAGTCAATATATTGCTACTACCAAATGCACAACTGAAAGCACACATTCTCCTAAAATGCAGATACCCCAAAGTTTCATACAGTTACCATATCCAACTCCAAGTCCTGGTTTGCTGGAAACTTCTATGGAGATGACTATTTTCTCCTCGCTCTCCATACATTTAGGCTTAACATACAGAAATGTAATGAGAAAGTTAAAAATTTAACTACAAATATGAATTTAATCAAATGATGCTTTTAATGATATAAAGAATGAAATCCATATAAAGTCTGTGGCACTGGTTTTGCAACTGGTTAAAAGTTGTAGCTGATACTTAAAACATTTCTTCTGCATATACATTTTTACCCAGCACAGTGACCTGTTTTTACCTGATAGTTCTGAGACCTTGGTAGTATTTTTTGCATAGGGCTGAATTAGTCTCTTATTTACCATTACTGGAAGGCATGGTGGTACATGGCAGTATTAGAGTTATCTATCAAATATTTCCAGGTCTCCTCCCAGGCATTTTATTTTATTTTATTTCCTTTAACCATAGCAATACAGTGTCCATATGGCTTTCTCATAATAAACTTTGGGCAGAAAGTAGATTTTTCATGCTTTCTTATTTTTTACCACAGTAACCAGCAATATTGCAGATATTGACTCTTTTGTTACCTCGGATCACAGAGTGAAGAGAGATAGAAAGACACCCCACCCCCAGCAACACACACTGCTTTACTCATGATCTCCATGGAATGAGGGATAAATAAACCTCTCTAAGGCTGTGCCCCTATGATTTTGGGTTATTTGTCATTATATATAACCTAGCCTTTCATGACAAACCAATGCTAGAAGGAGAGGTCCTGTTAGTACTCTCTATTTCCATTGTAGAGCAGCAAACCTATTTCTCCTTGGGAATCAGAATCAACTATATCAGTTAATATCATATCTTTTTTTTTCTTTTTTTGCTTGTTTGCCTAGTGCTATGAAAAACCTCAGAAATGTCTAGATGTCAGTTTCAGCTCCTAACAATGAAAACTTTATTGTCTCATATGGCAACATTCTTCACTTTGAAGTTAAAGCATCTAAACCATGATAGTTAAAAACCAAAGGGATGGGAAGCAAAATTTGGAAAGTGGATGTACTAATCTATTCTTCAGAGAAGCAGATCCAATAGGTTATATAGAGAGGAATTTATTATAAGGAATTGGCCTATATGCTATTGGAGACTGACAAGTACAAAGTCTACAGAGTTGATGTTTCAGTTTGAATCTAAATTGCCAGCTTTTAGATTCAGAACCAGAAAGAGCCAATGTCCTAGTTTGAAGGCATCAAGCAAAGGAGTTCTCTCTTTCTGGAGTAGGGTCCGTCTTTTATTCTATTTTGACCTTCAACTGATTGGATGGGGCCCACCCACATTATGGAGGGCAATCTGCTTTACCCAGTCTACCAATTTAAGTGTTAATCTCATCTAAAAATACCCTCATAGAAACACTCAGAAAAATGTTTGATCAATTATCTGGTCACTCCATGACCCAACCAAGTTGACACGTAAAATTAACCATCACAATGGCTGTTAAGTCTAATTGTAAGTTTCATCACTCAAACTTTACCTTTTGGCCCCAGGACCATGTTTTTTCACATGAGTA